GGCGGGCGTCACGTGGTGTCGCGGGGGAGGGGAGGGGGGAAGCGTGAACAACGATCGTGAAGCGGAGATTATGTGCAGGAGGCGGTGACAGGCTGAGCAGGTCTCGCCCTGCTACAGTCTTCAAGTCAGGAGTCGTCTGCTGTAAAAGGGGCTCGGTGATCGTATCTAAATTCCGAAACGCATCTGTTGGAGTGGAGATATTTCGCAAATGGGAGAGTAGTGTTAAGAGATGACGGGAGTAAATGCTCGATCTTTGAAAAATGTTCTACCTGTTGGCCCCATACTCCCCTCTTAATTCCTACTTCACCAGTCGAAGTTAAGCAAAGGAAAACTTCAGTTCTACGAGTGTATGAATTGCACAATGTATGCATTATTATATACTCGCTGATATATGGAATGAGTGGCAACATATTTATTCTAAGAATATAAAATACAAAGAAACTCTAATATTTCCAAACAATTTGGCATATTGCAACACACTAGAAGTTGTCACTTATAGAAAAATTCGTAAATCCAATTTTTCCTTCTTCATTCCATCTTTTCTTTTTGATAATATATTATAATTACAAAACAATATTAATAAATAAAAACAATGAACTAATGGATCATATTAAATTATTATTTTGCGCACTGTGTTCTACAGGAATGAAAGCGGAAGTTTGTTAATAAACAATGGCATAGTTTTTCCTGTGTAAAACCAATCAAAAATGGAGCTAATCAGCTAGCCTAATTAGTGTGAGAATTCTGTGCCCTTAATAGCTTGTCGTGTGCATGACAATTTGATGTAGAATTATATACTGGCTATATCTCAACAAATAGCATCTCATTACGTCAATTCGTTAATAATGTATTACAATAAGTATTTATTACCTCTCAGACACCATTGTGAGTTGCTACGGATTTCCTAGGTAATAGGTAGTTTGTGAGAGAGAAGTTAAATTGCTATACAAATGGGAGGAGAAGAAAAAAACAATTAACAAGACCTGGAAAATCATTATAGGTGTGTTATAGAACGTCTTTCGCAACGTCGGAGCCCACAGGTCCTCATTCATGATTTAATCGACGATTGCGATTGCACGAACCATCTGTTACATTTGTCCTTTACCCAGTACTTCATCAGCTCTGCCATTGAATACTTAACGATTTATTTCCAACACGTTATTCAGGTAATTAAAAAAAAGGACACTCCTACTTCATTCTACATTCACTTCACACTTTCCCATTCTCATTTATAAGTAAGGTGTTGAGTTGATTACCCACCCACAGATGAGGGATGATCGAAAATAAATGTTAATCGACTGCGCCAGTGTGAAGATTGAAAGAAAAAAGTGGGTGAGTGGATGAACACAAATAAGATGATGAAAAATATGAAAATGACAATGAAGAGTAAAAGAACAATCATGAAAATGAAGAGAACAGTTATTGATTCCGGGTGCGTCAACTGCCAAACTGTCATTACCAACAATCAAGGTCAACTGTCATGAATCCTGTAAATGTCGTGCGTGCTTTTTTATCGTTGGAGGTCGCCGTGTTTCTCCTCCTGAGATGCAAGATAATACATGTCGGCCAGCAGGGTTTCTCCCGACCAGGCATCTTCCACCAGCGGGGCACTGCCTCGGTGCATAGGTAAGTGCAAGTGTGCGTACGTAAGGAGTGAGAATTGAACAAGGAAGGGGAAGGAAAGATCGCGCGCGGTCCGTGGCCCGTTTGTTAGTGTACTACGGCGGCATTCGAAAAACATACAATCACAGCAGCCGTGCACAATTCTCTACCAGTCATCGACTGACTTCAACCTAGCTGTCTAGCGAGTGTCGAAAATGCTTCCACCGTCGGAACGCGAACCGTAGGACCTCCCGGTCAGAGGGACTGCGTAGAAAGAAAAAAGAAGAAAATATACATGAAAGCGAAATAAAATAGCGAAAAAAAGAAAAGAACAAATTCTAAGCCCTGGGCTTTCACGAAGGGCCTACACCATTTCCCGGTCTCTCCCATCCGCATCCCTCGGAACGCTGTCCCCGGGGGCGGCGCAGTGGCGTCTTGCGCGCGGCCGCGAGGGGCGCAGCGCGTCCGGTGCGGATACCTGGCCCCGCGGCCCCGGGGGAGGCGGAGGCGGCGGCGGCGGCGGCGGCGGCCGACACGTCGCCGCCCCTGTGATCGAAATGGCGCTCGCGCACCCCCGCAGCCGCCCCCAGGGCCCCGTCGCTCCATTGCCGCTCGCCACCCCCGCCCCCGCTGCCCACCCCCTCGCTCCTACCCGTGACCGGACGCTCCGCCGGCACGTCCCACGTGCCCATCCCGCGTGCCCACATAGAAATTGAGACCACTACCCCGAACGGGCGCTAATAAAACATTCAAATCATTTTTGTTTACCGAACGAAACGAGTCCGTCGAAAAAATGTCTTAAGATCCATTGTCAATTCACAAGAAAAATGAAACAAAAATTTTTCATTATAAAGATCATTTTTCCTGTTTGCGGGGCAGTGTTATTTCTCACAAAATGCTGTCTATTTAAAGCAAACTGAATCTTTTTTAAAATACGTTCCTGAAATTCTTACAGGCAAAAATCATAATTTTCCAAGCATATTTTTTCTCTTTAGTAAATAAAATACAATTTTTGAGATACAGTTTTCCGCATTGTTCCTGAGTTCTGCAATTTTCGAAAATTCAGAACGTTCATTGAAAGTGACATGCCCATGCCATTGTGCATGCCCACGCCCATGCCATTTTTTAAACGTCCGTTTCTCCCGTTGTGGGGGAAAATGTTTTTAAAAAATTGTTTGGTCGTTGTTGATGCTGCGAAATATTTCTGTTATGATTAGGAGGGCATTTGCAAAACTGCACCAAGAAGGTTCTGCCCATCGCCTTTCTGTGTTCTCGACAGAAGAGGAGACTCAGAAAAGAGGCCACGCAATCGACAAGAGCAGAGCTGTTGCGACTGAGCAGGGCTGTTGCGCCATCGCAAAGATAGGAAATGATGATTTAGTATGCCAATCAACAGATGAACAGCTTACTTTGCAAGATATCACTAATTTACAACAAAATAAAGTGCAATACAGTACCTAATAAAACAAATTTAAATACGACCTAAATAATTTTAATTTATATTTATGCATCTTAACAGTCTTATAAACAGCAAATACTTCATGAAAATCATGCATTTTTACTTTCACAACTTACTACATATGTAGTAAAGAATAAGTTCTGTAAGCGTGCTGAAATTGGCGATTTTTTAACAGAAAACTCTCTTATTGTCGGGCCCTGGTAACGTGAAAGTAGGTAAATCATTTTCCTATATGAATGGGTGAAAATCAAAAAACTTGTTTATTTTAGGCTACATTTCAGTGTCAATGTACTTTTGTGGTTTTATTAAACAATTTAATGCCGTTGTTTTAATGAAGAAAAAAGCACCACGACCTTACAGTTATATTGTCTTATATAAACAGATATCTCAGAATATATAAAACGTCACGTATACCGTTCTGTATTTCACTCACTCATATGCAGTAAATTACTTCCTAAAACACGTTGAAAAGTCAAAAGCCATGTTTTGAGGGATCGTAACACCTACAGGCGAATATATGGCAAAACGTCTGTCTGTCAGTCTGTCCTCTCCCTCCTCCCCTCTGTCGTTGGTGCCAAAGTGTAGCAAACATTTACTAAGTGGCGGAATTATACGTGTGCAGAATTTCAAAAGAGAGAAGCCGCCGTTTTTCTCTAAACTGTTTCAATTAACTGCGAACAAAATCCGTTGTGCCGTGAAATCTGTAATTTGGACACTTCTCACTAGATTGCATGGTTCATCGAGAAATAAATCAAACGCAGGAGATTTAGGAGTCACATGCAGATCAAAATAAAACAAAGTTGAAAATACAGAATGAAATTTAAATTAATATAATTAAATGTATTCCTATTCCTTCCTTTTTTCAGAAATAGAAATGACGAAACACCATCCACATGCTGTGTGATCTAAGTTGATATCCAGCGTACGCAGTAACAGATAGGTAGACATACATTTTAACAAGTGTGATGGATGGTGCGAAAAAGTAAAGAATTTGCCCAGAAATATAGAAAACTTTTCAATTGATAATCAGAAGACTCCGAATCAGTAAAGTTACGAACACAATAGTACGAACTTAGGATCCGATGTGGAAATTCTCACAGAAATGTGGAGAGACATTCGTAAAGGTACACTGTTTTTTCTTCTGTACTTAAAAAGTCATCTGGCTTGAATATGTATACCGAGAAGGCACTTAAAGTCACATTTTAGCCTTCACAATATGACACTTGTGAAATAATAGGAAGGAAACAAAAGATAGTATTTGATTAACCGGAAAATAAAAACTGTACAATAAAATATTCCCATCAATTAAAGTTTAAGAAATTAAAAATTGTAAATACTAAGTAACATGAATTCTCACAATTATTGTCATATTATAGCATTTTGCTTCTATACAGTTAGCGTAAAAAGTGAGTGGGCACTTATGAATCTTTCTGTTTGGGGTCTGTGAAAATTTTGCAGAGGTAGTTAACAAAAATAAGAAAAAAACTATCTCCACAACAAATAAGTTTTGTTGGGGAGGCATATTAATATTGCCAAAAGGCATGTTAATATTTTGTGGGATTTTTTTTGCATAAAAACGGCCCTAAGCCTCTGTGGCATGGAATTTACAAGATTTTCCACAATTTGTGGAGAAATATTAATCCATTCTTCTCGTAACATTGTCGTAAATTGTGTTTTCTTTGCAATTTTTCTATTTCTATTTTTTCTCTAGAAAACGCCCTAAATGTTCCATCAAATTTATGCCCCGTGGCTGAAAAGCAGAGAGCAGTTGTTTTGGTGTATTCTACAAAAAATCAAGTTTCGTTTTGAAAGCAGTGTGCTTTTGTTGTGGAGATCATTGTCCTGTTGAAAAATGTAGACTTGTCCTAAATAATCATAATTGCCCTCAAATTGTTTCTTAAAATGTCAATGTAAGTGTATTGGCTCATCTATGAAGTGCAAATGTCCGCCTTCACTAGCACTCGTACACCCCACACTAAGACCGAACCACATCCGTGTTTTAGAGTCGGAATTAAATTCTGCGGCTCGAACTCTGTTCTTTTTCCTCCATACTAAACGCCGACCATTCGTTCCAAAAACGGAGAATTGGCTCCCATCCGAAAAGATGATGGTTTTGATAAATGAAGAAAGCAATCAAGCTACAACAAATTTATTGTTTTCCTCTTAATTTTCTGACGACTAAAAATCGAATCTGAGATATTATTGAGGGAAGTAAACAGGCGTTCATTCACTTTTTAGACAAATATTCCCTTGCGCACCTCATGATGTACCGGAACAAACATACCTGACAAACGTACCCGAAGAGCATAAAAATAATAAATATTTTCTATCTGACACGGGACATCTAACTTTTCCATCAGAAACTTGCTAACGCCTTTCAAATACTTAACATCTCTTTTTCACAAGAGATTCAAGGGATTTTTATTCAGAAACGTCTCATAGTACGAATTGTTATAAATGATGTGTCTCAAACAATTTTTCCTACCCCCCTCCTGACACGTCTCCCTTCTCAACGTCCCTCTCCCGCAGGCAAGGCAGGGGCTGAGCCGCCTCTCCGGTCGGGGCGTCATGAAGACGGACGAGGGCGCGCACGGGAGACAGGCGAGAAATGCCTCTTGTCAGAAGCCCCCCTCCCCACCCCTCGAAGCACGCCACTCCCTCCTCAGTCGTCCTCGCGCTGCCCCGTCCACTGCCCCCTCTCTGGTACAGCCCACCACTCACACATACGATCCCAGAACGTGTCCTCCTTCAACCTCTTCCCCCATCTCCTCCAGGCACACATATGCACCCTGAACGTGTCGTTCTTCGCCCTGTTCCTCCCTCCCCACCACGCACACATACGATTTCTAAACGTGTTCTCCTTCCCCGTTCTCCTCCCTCGCCACCACGCACACATACGCTCCCTGAATGTGTTCACCTACGCCCTCTTCCTCCCTACCCGCCACGCACACATACGCACCCTTAACGTGTTTTCCATCGCCCTCTTCCTCTCTTCCCGCCACGCACACATACGCTCCCAGAACGTGTCCCCCTACGCTCTCTTCCTCCCACTCCCCGCTCTCTGGTACAGCCCACTCCCCACCCACGCACACATACGCACCCTTAACGTGTTTTCCGTCGCCCTCCTTCCCTCCCCTCCACGCACACATACCATTCCCAAACGTGTTCTCCTTGGCCTTCTTCTTCCGACACCCCGCTCTCTGGTACAGATCACTTCCCCCCCCCAAACGCTCCCATACGCTCCTTAAATGCGCCCTCTTCCTCCCTCCCCTTCACATACGATCCCTAAACGTGTTCTCCTTCACCCTCTTCATCCGGCTCCCCGTTCTCTGGTGCAGATCACTCCTCCCACGCACACATACGCTCCTTGAACGTGCGCTCTGTCCTCCTTCGTTCTCTTCCCCCCACTCTCCGCTCTCTGGTATAGTCCATTCGCTCCCCCCCCCCGCATACAAATACGCTCCCGGAACGTGTCCTTCGCCCGCTTCCTCCTACCCGATACAGCTCACTCCCCGCGACGCACACATATGCCGTTAGGCGCACTTAGGTACCAAGGACACTCGTTACACCCGGTACCGTGTTAGCTATCTTTGCCCTTTCCTACGCATTGCAGGAAGTTTGGATCTAACGTGCATTTCTTTGCGAAATGATCATTGCAGCAATTCATGCATTTTGATCAACAACACGCGCTCTTGCACACTCGACTTATGTGTTCAAAAGCTAAACATTTGAACACATCTCAAAGGAATTTTGCTCTGAATGATTGAACGTCTGAATGATTCTCTCCTTTCTGAGACCCTTAGAACAGTAAGGATCTGGGGAAGTGAATTTTTAGAACCAATTTTCTTTAGGGAAAAAATCTCTCTTCAGTTTTGTAGCTTTGACAAGTTAACTTGTTGCAGTTCGCCGAAAATGGAATATACTCCATACTTTTCATCGTCCTTTGATACATACAAGACGAAAATTTAAAGAAAAAAGTTGAAGCAGTGTTGGAGAAAAATTAGTTTTAAAATTTTTGAAAACTATTTTTCATGCAAAATTACTCGAAAACTGCCCATATTTTTGAAAAGTTTTACACTATTTTATTTCAAGTTCTGTCTTTAGAGAATATATTTCATTCAAAGAAAATACTATCTTCAATAGTGCAGGTATAGGAAGACGCCGAAAAAATTTGAACTTTTGTAATTTTCTAAAAGTTAGGGATTTTAACAAAAAAGAGCCAAGCACCATTCTCTAAAGAGTCTTTTACGCTATTCAAAGACAAAGTTTAATGACCAAATTTGGCATTATTTTTTAGAAAATTTTGAAAATGTTCATGTTTTATGTAAAGTAGTTCAAAAATCAAAATTAATGTGTTATACGCGCAAAGCCTGCACTGCATTTACATTTGGGAAAATCATTTTGCGTGGAAATCTGCTGAACGATTTAGGCCTTAGCATTGACTACAGACCTGTGAATAGACAGAGTCACGTTTTGCGGTGCATCGATTTTTTGGAATCAAGGATTCACAAAACAAGAATTCTGATTACACAGCGGGTCAGGGAAAGTAGTTTACTATATACAGAAACAATATTTATCCACTTTTTCGTTATTAGGGCCGGAAATTTTGGAGTTGAAAATTCTCCTTTTTTTCGGCACCCGATTACAATACTCTCTTGTCTCACGAACGTAAGGGCGGGAAAGTAAAAAAAGCAAATATAGCTGATCCGGACAGTAGACGTATCGTTCAGTTCTATTTTTCAGTTTTCTTTTAATCATGTAAAATAATTAAATGTGATTTAGTATAAAATAAATTATTGTAAGTGATACTTGTAATTTATTATTTATAAAATACATGACGATTTATAGTTACTTTTCATTGACAGACTTCCCGCATATTAACAACATTCAGGAGCCGATCATTAAAAATCAGTTAGTTTATTAAAACTTATTTCCACTCTTATTTTTTGTCATATTCTCCAAACGAGGAACTGCTTACGTTCCTTCCTTGCGTCATTTCAAACACGCGCTCGTAATCACACAATCAACCCACCCAATCATAATCACACATCCTCTGGAGCCTCTCCGCAGCCGCGTGGCGGTAAATCCCCTCCCACACACACACGCTCACACGCTCTCACCTGGCGCACCTGAGGCGCGTATACGCGAGCGTTTCCTACCCCCCTTACGACCTCATCAGCCGCGCCGGCCTCCTTAAGCGCGCGCGTAAAGTCGCATCCCTCCCCTCCCCCGCGCTCACCGCTCGGTCGCGCATCAGCCTGGATGCGTGGGTGCGCACCCGCGCGCGCAAAGCGCCGTTTAATAATCCTCCGCAGGGCGCTGCCTCCGCGCATAAACGCCTCGCCCCCTCCCCGACTGCTCGCTTTTCTTCTCCGTCTTTCCCTCCATTTCCTCCACCTTTTCCTCCTGACCGCTTATTCCGCACCGCTCCACCGCCGTCCCCACCACTTCTCCGCCTCGTAGTCGCTCCTCATCGTCTTCTACTCCTCCACCTCATCCTCTTCCACTTCCGGTTCACCACCTTCTTGTCGCTTGTACCGCCCATTTTCCCTTCCACTTCCATCTCTACCCGACTTCTCATCTCATCTCCCGTTTCTTCATCCTCTACTCCGCGGCGCTAATTCCATCCTTCTTATTCTCCTTCCTTTCCTCCACCCTCTCTTTCCTCGATTCTCTCCCCATCTTCCTTCTCTCCCTTGTTCCTCCTCGTCTCCTACTCCACATCCTGCTTCACTTCTCACTTCACCATCATCTTTCCCCACTTCTTATTCCCGTTCCTTTCTCATTATTTTTATCCCCTCTAATTCCCCCTCTCTCTTATCTCCCCTCTAATTCCCCCTCTCCCATTCCCTCCCTTCTATTCTCCACCCTCTCCTTCCTTGATCCTCCCCTCATCACTTTTCTCTCCCTTCTTCCTCCTCATCCCCCACTCCTTCACTTCTAACTCCATCTTCTTATCCACCTCCTCATTCCCGCCGCGTCCCCTACTTCCTTCCATTCCTTCTCCCACACTACCCCTTTCCTCCTCCCCCTCCCCCCTGTCGACAGCTAACGCGCGCGCGACTCTAGAGTTCATTTGCGCGTCGGCGAAGCGCCGCATTCAAATAGGCGATTTCATCAACGCGACTTGTACTGCGGCGCCGGGACGTCGGGGCAGCGAACAGAAGAGGAGACCGGCGAGAGCTCGCAAGAGCGCACCGACGAGGTAAGGAAGAGAAGGCAGGAAAGATGTCTGCTGAGAATTTCAATGCAAAATATGATGTAATAAAAATGAAATCGTTGAAGTGGTAATGCACTTATTGAGGTGCGTTGTCACCTGAAGGCAATGAAAGACAGTTTTCTTGGTGAGGTATACTTTATATATCCAAAGAGAGTGATCAAGAAACATATTTTTGTTTGTGTATTTACATAACTAATTTATTAATAAGCTCAGTACTTTCACCAAACAATTCATTTGTTGGCATTATCAGTTCATAGAGAATTGCTACAGACCAATGCAGCAGAACAAAATCTTAACAAGGAGCAAATATTAATGTGAATTGACATCGTATTTTCGAGGTTTATTCATATAACTGCTCCAATAATGTGTGCAGAAGACATTTATAAGTTCTATTAGGTTTTTAAACCTTCTTGCGGAATACCTGTGAATAGTTAGCACTTTATACGGTCTGACCCTGAATTGTGCGTTGAATCATAAAGGCTAGCTAATGTTCGTTATAACTTTTCTAATATTTAAAAGCATATATTATCAAACAGCAACTCAGTTTCGTCGTCGAACGTGAAATCCTGGTCGTCTCTCACTACTTGTGCTAATGTATGACGTGCCCAGAAGACCCTCCTCCCATACAGAGCTACCGAAAAAAATGCGAGCACCGCAGGTGATAAGGAATGTGCCTCGAAAAAATTCCACATATACGTGTATTTACGGGGATATTACAATCGTTTACATTGATGTAATTGATATGTGTATCCTTCGGTGCTCTACTGTTCACAACGGTCCTAGTCCACTTTCCCGAATTCGTGGAATCAAAGAACATGCCATAATACACACTACGACACGTGCATGGCTTGATTTTGAAAATAACTTTCACAACTGAAAAACATCAACAAAGTTCGATCAACGAAAATGAATAAAATAGCTATTGAAATTATAATAACTATTACGGGCAGCGTGTGGTGTCATTGCCCTCTTAAGCTCCATCAGCACCTTTGAGAGTCTTTGCCCTCGGCTCCAGGGCTGTAACTCTTTCTCAGACCTACACTCGTCATCCCGTTCAAATGAAACAGAAGGCCCAAAGTGGTCTCACTTTGTAGAACACGGACAAATGAACATACCATCCATGTCTCAGGACCTTAGAAATCAGGCTTTAAGATCCCAGGACACTTCCGTACTGAGATATACATGGTCATTGAGTCAGTAGACACAGTGTGATGCAGGCAATTTCAAATTCGCGCGTTCGAAAGAATTTACATGTGAAATACGATTTACTGTTTACAGAAGTTAAAGTATAAGCAACTGTCGGTACCATTTTTCAAGGTTATATAATGATTGACTAACGCACGAAAAGGTAGATTTGCATAATTAAGAGGTTAGGCAGGATGTGGAGCATAATAATCATATTAAAATGGTTAAAGTTAAAATGTTGAATTAACCATGTATTGAATATAAAATTCACGCACTAAACGTCTGATAGAGACCCACAAAAAGGGAGGAAACCTCCATGCACATGATATTTCAGCTAGGTTAATTACATTGGCTTAGACTTTATCTTGTCAGAGAGAAAATAGCTCTTTCCAGAATAATATCTGTCCAAAACAAATCAATATTTATTAATACAATAATCATCTCCTCCAACAAGAGAATTGTTGAATATCTAACTAAACCTCCATTTCATCTTCGAAGTATATTCCATATTCAACCATCAAAGATTGTTATGTGGAAATGAATATGATGCAACACTTTTTTCTTTAGAAAATCAAAATAACTATCTTTTGTAAAGTCACAAATACTTTTTTCACATACCTAATCATGTTGCCATAAGTCAGTTGTAACTTTCGCATTGAATTGTATTCTAATTATGGAATAGCTTATTAAGTTTGAGTTAAAGAAGTAGTTGTGTTAGAGCATGTGCTGCTTTAATTATAACGGTACAAATCAGGAAAAAGTAGGGTGTAATTAGTGATCATTACGAATTTTGCAGAGACAAATTAGAATAATGAATAGAAGAGTACCGGTTAATACGAAAACAGCAACAGAAAATTAAAAAAGACAAAAATATACATTAGAAAAAATATTAAATATATCTAAGAAATAAAATCCGAAATATTTAATGGATCTTATTCAGAAAACCACTGAAACTGCAATATGATGCTGTAATTGGAAAACGAGATAAAATTCTGCACAAAAGATAAACGGGAAAAGGGATCGCAGCGTAATCTGCCTTGAAAGAACACACCAACACACAGCCGAGAGAGGGGAAACGGGCGGGGACATAAAAGTGGGTAGGCAAACGCGAACCGCAGGTTATTGCACCTGGAAACTTGCGAATTACCCTGTCCTCTCAGTAGGTACGAGAGCTCCCAATACGAAATTAAGGACAGCGTATATTAAATAAGGGTCGTATAAGCAGCAATGGACGACTCGGCGGGGCTCGTAATGAATGGGGGAGGAATAAATTCCGCATTGCCTTTGTCTTTCGGGGCGGCGCGAGGCGCCGGGGTGGTTACAATGTTATCGCGCCCGGCGCGTCCCGCGCCGCCGCCGCCGCCGCCGCCTCGCGCCGGGGCTTCGTATCTGCAGATCTCCGCTACTCGTCGCCCGCGCGCACTTTATCAGCGTCCTGGGAACCCCCGAGGAAGCCACGTGAATAACGGACTGCGCTCGCAGACTTCACGGCTGCGGAGGGAGTGGAGGCGGGCACGGCAGTGACTGGGGGGTAGGGTGGATGTGGATGTGGATGTGGATGTGGATGTGGATGTGGATGTGGATGGGGATGTGGATGTGGATGTGGATGGGGATGGGGATGGGGATGGGATGTGGCGTGGCGGTGTGGGGGTGGAGTGGAGGTGGCGGTGGTGGTGGTGGTGGTGTGGTGGTGTGTTGGTGGCTGCGCGGGCGCGGAAGGCGCAAGAGTGTGCGATGTGGTGGCCGGATGGCGATTGGGGAAGCGGAGGTGGGATGGTGCCCGATACCGGAGCGGGAATCGAGGTGGAAGAGAGAGGCCAAGGCGAGTCTGAGCCGAAGTTAGTGAGGAAACGGAGACCCAAGTGAAGCGAAGCGGAAAATGGAGGCGATGCGGAGGGGAGGCGAAGGCGGAGGCGGAGGTGGAGACTAAGGCAGAGGCAGAGATGGAAGCGGAGGCGGAGGCGAAAGCCAAGGCCGAGATGGAGGCCCAGACAGAAGAGAAGGCAAAAGTGGAGGCGAAAGGGGGGTGGCGGCAGTGGAGACGGAAGAAGATGTGGAAGCGGAGGAGGTGGCTGAAGCGGAGGTGGAAGCGGAAGCGGAGGCTGAGCCCGAGACGAAGGCAAAGGCGGACGCCGAAGCGGAAGTGGAGGCGGAGGCCGAGGCGCAAGCGGAAGCGGTGGCAGAGGGCGGTCGGGGCGGAGCGCGGGTGACAGAAGACGGGGAAGGGGCGAGGGGACGGTGGCAGATGTGAGGTGTGGGCGTAGGAGGCGCTGAGGTGGAGGTGATAGCGTAGGGGCGAGCGTGCGCGACGATGGATGCAGTAGCATTGGCACGAGCTGTTGGGTGAGAGGGGGGGGGGCAGATGGAGTGGCGGGGTCGCGCTTGAAGGCACTGCAGGTCGTAATCTGTTTATATCGCAGTAATCTCAAGTGATATTTTGAATCATGGGTCTTTTGTTTTGGAGAAAATTGTAAAAGAACAAATGGGAAGATTGTTAGGAACGAGTTTGCGCTACTTTCGAGAGCATTTATTCCAGCATTGGTTGGTTCATTCACGTGATAAAGAACGATGCAAAATATACCATCTATTAG